GCCGACGCCTTCGAGCTAGCCGACGCGACGGGAGTCCAGGCGATTCTTCTGGACATGACCGACATGGCCGCGGAGTGCCGGATCGCGGCCGCGGTCGACATCCCGGAAGCCGACTGTCATCTGGCAGGCGTTGCTGGACAGTTGGCTGCTAACCCCGGGCGTTTCCAGCGCCGCGATGGCGGACATGGGTGGCGAGCGCGAGCGCGAAGTCAAGGATGGGGCTCGAGACCATGGGGCTCCGCGTCGCCACGAGTGCCCCGTGCAGTCCCGCGCAGAATGCCGCGCGCGAGCGGCGCGGTGAGACCTGGATGGCCCGCGCCGGTGCTCTGGTGACCGAGTTCTGCACCTGCTTCAGCAAGGCAGATCAGCCCATGTGGCTCACGACCTCTATCAACTACGCAGTGCACCCGGCGGTTGGGCCCTCGGGCGATTCGTCATCGCAGTGGGTCTTCGGCAGAGGCATCAACCTGCTTCGCCAGTTGCTCAGCCAGCTTGGCAGCTCACGACTCCGCCAGTTCATGTTCGACAACGGCGACTTTAGCATCCGATGCCGCGTCGGGCTGACGGCGGCGGCCCAGAGGTCGGTCGCGGCGATGGAGGCGAACGACGAGCTCAGCCAGACGTTCCCAGCAAAGAGTCAAAGTGCCACGAAGATGCCAGCGGCGTCGACCTGGCAGGCGGGCGCCCATGTCTTCTACGGGCGCGGGCGGGGGAAGGCCAGGGCGAAGAAGCTGCGGGCAGAGCGGCGGCGCGGGCAGGGGGTCGCGGCAGGGCGCGAAGCTAGCAACTGATGGCTTGCCCACCAGAACCTCGCGATCAAGGCGTCGACAGGGCGCGCGAGGGCGGCCTGCCCCTCGGAAGTGGTCGACTGGAAGGACATCTTCGAGCGCGCGGCGGACACCAAGCCCGCTGGCGAGAAGCCAGCTTGGCGGTCGCCAGCGCCGCCAGGATCTGAAGACCCAGAAAGAGAGATTGAGGTCGACCGCGAGATTCCCGTCATCGCCGAGCCGCCGCGAGCCGACCTGTGTCCGGGCGAGCCTATTTGGACATGTTAGACGAGCACGCTGCGCCACCTCCGTAGCAGGATGCGACGCCACCCTCGCGCCAGTCCGAGGGAACGCTACCACGGCGCGGCCCTGTCGGCGCGCGTCGGCGCGAGACCATCGACTGGGATCGCAAATCGGTCGGGCTGCGCCCTGCACCGCGCGCTGGGCCCACTCCTCGCGACGAGGAAGCTGCGCAGCGATATCAATAGTTACCTGAGCAGATACCTGCGCCAGAATCGCCGCAGAGTCAGAGCCAACGCGGACCCAAACTACTTGATATCATACCTCTACTAGCTGCCGCTCCGCCACGTCAGCACCCTGTGCCTCCGGAGTACGTAGAGGAGGTCGCCGACGACTATAACGCAATGGCCGCTGAGGAGACACCGCAGCTGCCCAAGGACCAGCGCGACCTCATCGATGACCAGTTCCGGGGCGAGGATCCAGAGGCGCCCTGCGCGGGCGCTGCCTCCCAGCAGTTGGTGGGCGAGGGGCCGTTCGAGGACTGCCTTACTTTCGGGGGGGCCCCGCAGTTCGCGCCCATGCTGGAGCGAGAGCAGGTGCAGGGCCCGCTGTCGGCAGGCGTGGGATCGTCGGCAGGTCCAGCGGCAGGGCCGCCAGGACGCGGCCCCAGTCAATCGGGAGGGGCTCGAACGGTTCGCTAAGACCATCTCGACGACGCCCCCCGCTTCAGGGGCCGCCGCGGCCAGCCTGGCCAGACGCCGCGCCAGGGCGCGAGGCGCATCGTGTACCCAGCGGTCGTCGGCGTCCGAGGCTGCTAGCTGACCGAGGCGGCCAGGCCCAAGAAGGTCGACGTCGAGTCTCTCCAGCAGCGACATCCGCGAGCTGGTGGCTTCCATGGGGGCCGAGTGGGACGTGGGTCGCCGCTGGGGCCGCCGGGGAATGCCCCGACCACGAGCTGCAGCTTCACCTGGGAACGGCGCCAAGGTCGTCGGCGCCAGGTGGTTCGTCGCGCTCATTCAGACGAAGCGGCCCAAGTTCAAGTCCAGGCTCGCGGCCCCATGTTGCCAGGAGCGCTCCGCTCGGCCTGCGTCAGGGGCGACGGGCCCGCGGGCTCGGTGGACGCCGCGCCCCTGGTCACCGTTCGGTCTATGTCTCAAGAAGTGGGGGAGCGCCAAGGGGGGCCCCAGTGAAATCGGCCGCTCCCGACCGCCAGCACGGCGCCCGCGGGGGCGGGCCCGGCTGCCTGCGGCGCGGTTTTCTGTTTTGTTGATGGGAGCCTGTTTTTCTTTATATCCAGGCAAGCTTACTCGCATGGCGTTCGCCCCCCCCCCCCCCCCTCCCCCCCCTCGCCCCTCTTCAATCGAACGCGAGCGTGCAAGCGCCTTTCGACTTGCGTGATTTCCGCGCGTCGAATTGTTTTCGGCTTGCTTCAGACTCAGCCCCCCCCCCCCGTCCATGCATGTTAACTTGCCCGAATCCAAAGGAAAACGGGCTCATGGCGGGGTGGCCGTCGGGCTGCCTCGGCCCGCGCACCGCCGGGCCCGCCTCTCTCAGGCGCTGGGCGCGGCCCTGGCGAGCCGGGAGGCGGGGGGCGCCGGGCCCCGGGGGCTCCGAGGAGGAGCCCGGTCGGCGCTCTCGGCGCCCGCGCCCATGGGCGGCCCTGCGCCTGCCCAGCGGGGCCCGCCCCTTTCCCAGACCCCCTCGAGTTATAAAAAAATCGGGGGTGGACAGAACCCCCAACAGTGACGCGTCGATTAGTGAATTGTCCGTTTTCGGTTCTCGAGAGGGCGCCGTGGCCGTTATTTTCCAGGCTTGCGCCCGCCAGGTTTGGGCCTCAGGTCGTTTTCACTAAACCACGTTTTACTAAAAGGGGGGGTCTGTCCATCCCCGAAAAATCACGACGGGAGGTTTTTCGTTATTTTTGGTCTTTGGGGGGCCTTTACTGGCCCTCGGGGCCGTCAAAGAACGACTCAGGACGAAAAGCCGGTCCCGGGGAATGGGTCGAGACCTCGGGGGGTCGACGTCATGAAGAAATCATGACGTCGGGGGTCTGGGTTTTCTCCGTTTCGCTCCCTGCTTCTTTTTCTGGGTGCGCAGCACCTTTGCACGCGGCAGCTTGGCGGCTGTCGGGCGCCGGCGATGTTCGCCGAATTGGCCCGGCTTTCGCCCGGGGCGGCTTCGCCGTTGCAGGCAAGTGGCCACTCTCGATGGCTGCGCTTGCGGTTTGGTTTTGATGGTGGCCGATGGGCTGGCGAGAGTGCCGTCAAGTTGCGCAGCCGTGGTGCTGCGCGCCGTGGAGTGGGCGCGTGACCGTTTTGCCACAAAACCATCATCCTCGTTTTTCGCCCGTCCTTGCCCTCCTCCCTTTGCCCCCTCCCGTCTGTGTTAGTGCACGCGCGCCTGCGCGTAACTTGTATAGTCTGGTCGTGGAGACTGAAGGTAATGTGCGGTGGGAGTGGGGCCTTTGGTGGGCCCGTTTTGGTTCCGCAGCCAGGAGGCTCGAGCCGCGGGGTTGCCCACCCGCCCCACTTCGCTCTCCGAAGGCGCTCTCGGCCTCGGCAACGGCCGACGGGCCGGCGAACGCGCCGACAGGGCGCGCAGCTGCGGTGCCGCGCGCCGTCAGCACGAACCCAGCTGGGGTTCGTGCTAAAGAGTGGGCGCGTTGCCGCTCTGCCACAAAACCATAATTTTCGTCCTTTTCCCGTCCTCGTCTTCCAACCTTTGTTTCCTCCCCTTTGTGTTAGTGCGTGTCAGAAGGGGAAGAAACACACAGACACAATTACTCGTCGACCCCCAGGAAAATATGGGAAGTGGGGGGGGGAAGACGAAAGCCCAGAACATGTCGGAAAATATAGGGAATATTTTGATTTGTGTGTATTTATTTGTGTGTCCTGGGGCCCCTTCACCCTTTGCTTCCTCCCCTCAGTGTTCGTGCGCGCGCGCCCGCACGTGACGGAGTGTCCGTGCGTCTTCTTGCTCACAGGCGCCGCGGTGCCCACAGGCGCCCGGGCGCTCCCCGTCACAGTGATGCTCGGGCGCTGCTGTGTTCGAGTGGGTGATGAGTGACAATTGCTGCTCCCGTTATGTCGGGCGCGTCCCCCTACAGGGGCATGTTCGACGAAAAATTAAATTTATTTCAAACATACCCCAAAAAAGGTAAAAACATGTATTCAGAAAGTAGTCCCCATACTATAGTTGGACTATTTTCAAATTCTGTTTGGGGTATTTTTTATTTTTCGTCGAAATTCCCCCTGTAGGGGGACAGGCCCGACTTAATGCTCCCGCTGAGATCACAATATGGCGTTCGCGCAGGATGGTCTTGTGTTCCTCAAATTGCATCTTTCGACATTTCATCGCATCGTGGCCGAGGTCGCGTTGGTGGCAAACTTGCACCACGCATGATAACGCCCACGCAATGTTTGAATCCCGTTCAGTCCCATTCGATGCGATTTCATTCTGGGCTTCGTGTGGGCCGCTCTGGCTTAGTGGTTCCCCAATCGGGTGTCCGAGCCATTCGTCGTTGTTGCGAAGACCTCCTAAGACTTGCCTTCAAAAATTTGCAGCAATTCTGGGCCAAGCACTTTTGGTTCTCACGCGTTTTCGAGACCGCACCGAGCGCTATCGTGCTCCAGGGCCCCACCAGCGTCAGGCAAATGGGTATTGCTGCGAAGATCGTCGCAGTCGCCGCGTTGGCCCTCGTCAAGGCCACGGAGGTGTGGTTACTCGCCGATCTGGGCGAAACGTGCACACAAGCTTGTGAAAAAGCGTCTTTGACTTGTGTCGACCAAGACTGGTAACAGGAGAACATAATAACCTAGAGAGACGTGGTCTTGGTCATGATCTTGATTCGTGGTCTTCAACCAACTCAATGGTTCCAGCTGTAAGAAACGACGGTGCATGCTTTGAGTCCGTTCAGTTTCTGTACAAACCATGTGGTTCCGCTGCTGGAGAAATTTCGTAACGCTTCTGCAAGGGCGAGGGCGACGGCGCCGTTCAGACCCCGTGCCCCAGCTCCAACACTGGCTCCGTCGCAGATCCCGTGGGCCCTGGCTCCAACGCCGGTTCCGTCGCGGATCCCTTGGCGGCGGCGTGCGAGCACCGGGCCAATGGGTGCGAGATCGAGTGCACGGAGAGCGACTTCCGAGCAGCGTGCGGCGGCACATAGTGTTGCGAGCTCTTCCAGCAGGCCCTCGTGGATCTCCGCAGTGACGACGGCAGCTCGGACCCCAGGGCACCTGTCAGTTTTAAAGCAGGTTCAGATGGGCTCGATTTATCTCAAGGCTGCCGCCTCTGCCGCCGACCCCAATTGAGCGACGAATGTTTCATTCGTTTGTTGTCGGGGTGCTTTTCCGAGCACGTCGGGAAGGGTTCAGATGAGTCTCCAGATTCTCTGTTGCATCTCGGACTCCTTTTGGGAGCAGTTTTGGAGCCTCGTGGGGTCGCTGTTGGGTCTCTGTGGGGTTTCTTGCAGCCTTATGGGGCCTCTTGGGTGCCTCTTGTCTTGGGGCCTCTTGGTCACTTTTTTGGCCGTCTTGGGCCATTCGTGGGCTTTTTGTAGGGCCGTCGGAACTCTCTTGGAACGCCCTCAGGGCCTTCTTGCAGCCGTCATTGGGCTCTCTTGGAACCGTCTTGGGCACCCAAGGTAGAGCATATGAAGCAACCCTTTCACATGTGTTTTTCTGAATGCCTGTTGCCAGTCTGTTGCGGCCCGCTTGGGCCCAATGCGGACCTCTCTGAGGGCTCTTTTGGTGCCTTGTTGGGGCCCTCATGGGCCCTCGAAGTGGAGCATCTGAAACGGCCGATTCAGTTGCTCCACTTTGGTTGGCTTTGGGGACGTCGTGGGCCACCCGAGGGCTTGCCATGGGACCATTGAGGCATTATTGGGACGCCCCCAGAGCCCTCTCAAGGCCCTCATTGGTCTCTCTTGAGGCCGCCCGCCACTGGATCCCCAGAGCATGTGAAAGAGCCCTTTAAACGCTCCATTTTGAAGGCTTCCAGCTGGCCTGTTGTGGCACGCGTGGGCTCAACCCGGACCTCTCTAAGGGCAATGCTGGGTTTTCTTAGGGCCCTCATGGTCCCTCCAAGTACAGCATCCGAAACTGCTGCTCTGACTCTCCACGATGGTGAGCTTCGTCGCCGTGTTGGGTCCCAAGGGCTTGTCTTGCCTTTTCCGTTCGCCCAGCGACCTCTTGGGCAAGCGGCAGTTAGAAGTGAACCTTTGGACGTAACGTGTGGCGGAAGCTGGCTTTGGCAGTCATGTGTTGCTGCATGAAACAATATACGCCGAACTAGCTCGCGTGCCAAAGGCAGTAGCGCATTGGAGCCATCGCGGTGCGGAACTCAAACAATGAACTAAGCACGCGGCCAGCAAAACCATTGAAAACCACATTTGTCGGACGCGGGCAATATGCCCCGGCTCGGGGTCCGTGATTGGGGATGCCCCCATGCTCAGCCGTAGCCATTACCTCTCGAGAAGTCTTGCTGTCTTCTTCGCGTGGCCCACAATGCCAACGAAAGCGAAAGGGATTGGCGGTCGGAAAGCACAGGGCAAAGCCAAGGCCAAGGCCAAGGCCAGGGCGGCGAACACACCGAACAAGGCCAAACCCAAGATCGCTGTCGTCACTGAGCCCGTAGTCGAAAGCGACCTTGGCAGCGCAGAGAAGGTTGACTCCAGAGCCTGGAGCATGCAGAAAAACATCGAGCGGCTGATTAATCATACATTGTCCTTCATCGATCCCCTTGACATCAAGAGCCGTCGTAGCACAAAGGAGGGCTTGACGGTCAAGCAGTATCTGCAGGCGGCGCTGGAGGATAACGCGTTGAAGGCTGGCCGCAATGGCAAGCGGCAGTACTTGACAGGGGAGCTTGGGACCGAAATTTTCAAATATTCCAAATTCAAGAAGCTGGTTTCCATGGACTTCGCTCCCCTGATCAATCTAAGATCTCCTTGGACAACAGTCATTGGGAAGCGATGGGCGTGGCCAACTCCGAGAACCCTGGGGTTCAGAGCGTGGAACCTTGGTGCGATGTCGTGAACAATGTGAAGGACATCGACGAGGACAGCTTGATTGCCCTTGTTTCATGCGTCCACCAACTCCCGAGTGGTCACGATGAATATGTCCCGCAAGATGCAGCTCTCCCGAGCGGGCATGTGTGGCCGGCTGCAAGTGCCCACCCGTTTCCTTGCAGTTTGGCAGGTTGTTTGTGGCAAGTGCGACTCTGTCTTGATTTGGCATTAGCAACAAAAGGCGAGCCAAGACACCTTCATCGATCGGAGAATCTGGTCACAGACCCACCACCACGCGGTGAAGGCCGTCATTGCGGAGGCCGGCTTCGACAAATGCCACGATTGCGCTGACATGGAAGCGCACTGCCCAGGGCCAGCCTTGCACAAGGTACTCCAGTCGAGCTTGGGCCAGGCCATGTTCTATGAGGAGGCGAAGCAGTTCCATATCAACGCCTTCATCGAGCGATGCCACCAGCGCGCTGGTGACTTCATAAATTCGGGCTTCACCGACGAGAACCTTGAGGGCGACCGTGCAGCAGCGGACGTGGATATCGCGGAATTGGTGAGGAGCGGCCACAAGATGTACAGGCGCGGCAAGGCAGAGGAACGCATTATATTTCTCTTGAATGCGCCAGTGGAGGTGTACCCGTCCTCGCTGAATGACATCAAGGACTGGATTATCCGTGCCCTTGTTTGCTCACTGGCCGTCTCGAATAGCCAGTTACCGCGGCCCCCGTGGCAGCGCGTCTTGCGGGGAGACGAGGTGCTGCCGCAGTTAGGGGCTGCCGAGAAGGTGCCCGAAAGCTTTATCTTCCATGCTCGCAATTCCAGAGACTTGATGGGGCGCATTGCTGGAGAATGGGGCCCTGGCCGGACTGGCAAAGATGCAGGGGGACATCATGAGCAACCAGAAGGACATTTTGGATACCGAACGGGCTGCGCGCTTAGATGTCGCATTCGTTGTGCACAGGGTCCACGGAGTCGCCGACGCCTGGGCGCAGGAGGAGGTCATCCAGGCCCTGGCGTCGACGGCGTCCCCAATCGGGGCTGCTTCTGCTGAGGACGTGCTCAAGTGCTTGAAGGGGGTGAAAAAAGCTCAGGGGTGATCGTCGCTTCTCGTGCCTCCCCAGCGGCGTCTCCTATGACATCCACACGATCGAGTCCCTGATATCTGCCATGATGGATGGAATCGCTTCGGGGGCAAGATTGACGACGTCGGGCACCAGCATGGACACCGTGGCATCGCGGTTGAAGTGCAGCGTGCCAGCGCCCAAGAAGCAGGACAAACTCAACTCTGGCAAGGCGACGCCCGTGGGTTCCGAAGCTGCCAAACGCATCTTCAAGCGGGTGGAGGACGAGAGCCCCGAGAAGCGCCAGGAGTCTGATTTAGCTATGCTCCGCAACTTCAGCTGGCTGCTCGGGCCCCGCTCGCGCGATAAAACAAACGTGGATCGGTGTGGTGATCCGGCAGGCGCGAGCTGACGCGTCGGGTTTCCGCCGCCGACGCGTCGGGTTTCTGCGCTGCGTCGAGCGGCAGCGCGGCAGCGCGGACCGCCCGAAGGGGGCGGCCTCTGCGATCGCAGCGAAGTGTTCGCTTGCTGGCGGGGCCACCGGCCAAGAAGGCCAAGACGAGCGATAAGCGAGGGCCGACAACGAGGGAGAAGATGATGAATAATTGCATGGGCGCGGCGCGAGGTCGGCCTCTTTGACGTGGATCAGCGCCTGCCTCGTTTGGCGCCCACGCCGGGGCAGCTAGTCCACGGGATCGGACTGCGCCCGCTGCGATGCGAGACGGCGAACGCCTGCCAGGCGGTTGCGCAGGGGCTTCTCGAGCCTGGAGCTTAGCGCGAGACGGATGTCTGGATCGCGCGCCCGTTGCGCACCGGGCAGCAACGCACGTTGGAAGGATCGCGGTCAATCGCGGCCTTCCCGCCCGCAGGAGCCCCTCGAGGGCGGCCGCGTGCGCGCCGCGCCACTGCCGACAGCAGTGACATCATCATCGCGATCATCATCGCATCCTTGCCGTCGCTGCTTCGTCGTCGCAAGCGTCTTCGCCGCCGAGCGCCCGCGGCGAGCGGCGCTTGGGGGCGCGAGTTGGGAAAACATGCAGTATTCGCAGAGGGCAGATCGTTAACCGACAATAAGTCGGTAAGTCGGAGAAGCGCCAGGACCAGCTGCAAACTATAGGACAATAGCACGGCTTGCCATCTCGGGCCATGCATGCACGAATCTTCGAAGCCTCCCGCATCCCAACCAGCCCGTCCAGAAGCGATGCCCTGTGGAGCTGCCGTCTTAGGACCGCGTTGGGAGACGCGAAGGCCCTCTTCCGTCTCCTGGAGCCCCCTTGAGTCTCTCATTGGGCCGCCGTGGGTTTTTTTGGAGGGCCTTGCGGGTGGCGTCTGCAGCTCTTTTGATCGGCGAAGAGGGCTGCGTCGGCTTCGGTTTCTCCAGATACCGAGCGCTAGTGTGCCGGGGCCCTCTCGGGGCGCCCTTCGGGAGCTGCTGCGCGCGATTGGGGCCATCTCGGGCCCCCCTTTTAAAGGCCCTTCTTGGGGCTGTGTCAGGGCGCGGCGGGGCCGCGCTACAGCGTCGGAGCCCGTCGGATGCAAAAAGGCCCAGGTGACAGAGTTGCCCGGTATATTTGTAGGTTCTCGGACGCGTCGGGCCCGCTGGGGCTTCTCGGGGGCGCATCGCATGGCATGTCGGATGCGCTTTCGGCTACGCGTTAACTTTGTTGGGCGCCATCTTTGGGCGTCGGGTGCCCCCTCGAACCGCCCGGGGCCAGCGGGGGCCCTCAAACGCTTCGCGCCCCCCTCCATCTGCCCCCCCCCCCCCCCCGCAGTGGGGGCAGGGTCGCGGGGGGGCGCGTCGAGATCTCCGCGGGCCACGCGAGGCCCGAGGGCCGACCGGACGCCGCGCGCGACGGAGTCAGGGGAGTCGCGGCGGCACTCGGCAGGGCGCCCCGCCGTTCAGGGCGAAGCGAACAGTTGGCAGCCCCAAATCTTGGGGGAGCGTAAGACCCGGGTTTGCCAGGACTCGGGTTCGCCATCATTTTTTTTGACGACCGCGCCTCGGATTTTGACGAGGAGGAGTTTTGTGGGATGTCTGCAGCGGGAGGCCTCGTCAAAATGCAGGCTCGGCCTCGTCATTTTTTTGACGACCTCGTCGGGTATTTCCGAGTCCCTTGTACCCAGGTCTTACGTCCCCCTGAAAATCATCATGGGCACATTTGAATCTGGGCAGGCGCGGGGGGGGGC